CACGTTGGCATTCAAAGCTTGTATAATTCGTTTCACTCCGGTGGACTCTGGAAAGTCATCTGAACCAAAACACAGAGATATTGTGCTCTGAACAACTGGACCAAAACTCGGAGACATTGTGCTCCAAACAACTGGACCAAAACCCATGCTGTGCCTGAAAGTAAGAAGGTGTGTGTCTGAACGCCTGCCCCGTCTTACTGCACTCGGGCATTCAAAGCTTGTATAATTCGTTTCACTCCGGTGGACTCTGGAAAGTCATCTGAACCAAAACACAGAGATATTGTGCTCTGAACAACTGGACCAAAACTCGGAGACATTGTGCTCCAAACAACTGGACCAAAACCCATGCTGTGCCTGAAAGTAAGAAGGTGTGTGTCTGAACGCCTGCCCCGTCTTACTGCACTCGGTGTAACTTACTGCTTTTGTCAGGAGAGACAGATTTCTTGCCTTTGCTTTGTGAGAGGCTGAAGGATCTACATTAATGCCTCGCTTCTTGGTCTGTAGGTTTCTAGGATTATGAACTGTGAGCCCTTGGCCTGTTGTAGAGACCTAAATTGAGTGGGGTTTTGTGCAATATTTAGCATGAGGCTTGCATTGTTACACAGCACAAGAGTAAATTTAATAGTAAGAGACAGGGATTTTTAAGCTGCTGTTAAAAGCCAAGTATCTTTTACCCCAAGATCTCTTACAATGCTGTATGGTGTAAAAATAGATGCTAGAATTATTTTTCCTTCCTTTACAAAGGCAAGAACTTCAGACAACCATTTAAAGAAGGCGTGATGCTCGTTAAAACTGATCACTGTAAAGCTACCTCCACATCCAACTCCAAATGTTCCAGTAAACCTATGTATTACAGTAACCTGAAAGACGAGGGAAAGCATTATTTTGACTTCAACTGTAGTCAATAGGCCTGACACCACCACACAGTCAGTTTTCCCATCTCCTCGGTTAGTCAGCTTCCCATGTTTGTGCAGGCCTCACAGAGCAACAGGGGGGAAAAACCCCAACCCTCTGGATATAAAGATGTGATTGCTTGTAAATCAAACTCCTCTAGGATGACTCAGGGGCAGGTGCAAGAGTTGAAACTGCCTTTAAAAATGAATTCAAAGTTGTCTACGACCCCTTGGATCAAACACGTTGCCCTCTATGACGCCGCTGTTTGGTTTTGTAGCGGAGTCATTATCAAGAGTCTCAGTTTAGAGTCCTTGTCCTTACAGACCACTGACTGACAGCGTAGTCATAGCAAGAGCTCCAGTTCACTTCTGATGAGCTGCCAGAAATGTCATAATTTGTAAACAGATATTGGCCCAGTATGTTTACTGCATCTGTTGTATCTTTTGTAATTCACAGGGCATGTTTATGGGTTAAATAAGTTACTCACTGGGACACATCTCCTCCTACGTATGAGTCACAGTCAATCAAGCACCATAATCAAAATCCAGGAAAGAACATATATCTTAATAGAATCATAGAATCACTAGGTTGGAAAAGACCTTAGAGATCATCCAGTCCAACCGTATCTGTCCACCACTAAACCATATCTTTCAGCACCAAATAATACTCCAAAGATTAACGTCCTGAGTTGTTGTTATGCTCATTTCTTGTATTATTTAAATGGTAAATAGCTTGCCCTTTACAACAATTATTCAACAGAAAAATAACTTGATTTAATGCTACTAGTATGACCTTTTAAAGCACTTCACAAGAAAACTTTAGTTTAAGGAGTACCAGCTCCCTGTTTTTGTGGTTTCTATAAATCAGGAATGTGTGTATCCCTTCCACCCCGACCACCCAAGTACCAAAAAGAAAAGCCATGCTGGGGGGCTGGGGAGGTTCTGAGCTGCTCAAGATGATACACTTTAATCTAGGCCTTTCCGGGGGGAGGGGGTGGAACTTGAGTTCTGGCTTAGAAGACCTTCGGACTATTTTTTGGTGAATCTGAAATAGAGCAAATTGGACTATTTTTTGGTGAGTGCTGTGTATTTGGTGAATCTGAAATAGAGCAAATGTTACTAATTCCACTCCAGCCTGGAAATGGAGTTGGTTATCTCTGGCTCTATAGAGGTAAGAGGTAAACACTTCTGGGTTTTGTATCACTGAAGTGAGGAGATAAGGCTGATGGTACGGCTGTCAGGAAGTGCACAGTCACTTTTCAAGGGTGGAACATCACACATCGCTCTTTGACTCGGCTTGATGGGCTTTTTCAAGTTGTAAACATACGGCCAGCCAGTGATTTTGAAACTGGTTTACCTCCTGCATAACCGTTCACACTATTCTAAAATGTTTTTAACAATCCATCTCCCCCTTTCAGCCTACGTGTCACTGTTGGAATAATGCCTGTCTACTCTTGCCATGTGCAATCCTTCTTAAAGGGTTTTTTTAAAGACAATTTTCCCACCCTTGTGCATCTCTGGCTCTTGGTTTCTAGATTCATTTCCAAAGTGGAATATAAATGCTTCTACTCTATCAATACAGCCCTAGGATTAGTGCCAGAAAAAGGAGCAGATATTATTTTTATGTAGGTGCTATGTAAACAGCAGCTGTATTTGGGAGGGGACGAATGGAATTTCTTGGAGGAAATAACCTCCTCCCCTTCCTGACCTTTTATAGCTGACACTAAGCCTCACCAACTGGGAGCATTCCATGCTGTAATCCTGTAGCGGAGCAAGTTAGGCCCCTTTCAATTGTTTAGAAGATGTTTTGGTGTGCTTTTTCATTCTAAAAATTCAAACAGAAGTAGTGATCCTACCATCTTCATCAGGCAGATCCTCGGGGCTAAGTTCTACCAGTTCAAAGCCGTGTTTGATGCACCATTCTTGAGCTTTCTGTCTGTTAACACCTACAGTTGGGAAACAAAAAGGCGTACTGAACGTACACGTTTGAGACTAATATCAGCAGTTGAAATTTTAGCTGCAATATCCCCTCCAAGTTGTTTGCTTAGTCTGGATTGTGTGGGGAAAACATACACAGTAGCTGGCATGGTTCCTCCGCTCCCCTGAATTTGATTCCAAAAACTCCAGAGTTAAACTCCTCCTGCAAACTGTTTTTTGGGTTTTTTTGGGTTTTTTTTTTAGATACTATAAAATCAAATGGCTTTGCAGTGGATACTCGAAAGGAAATGCCAGTGAGGTGCCACAGTGAACGAAGGCTTCTTTTAACTCTGGGTTTGAGTCTGAATTAATTACCACCTGCACCTTTGGCTGTGGTATTGAAGGTACTAACCCAGAACCAAAGTGAAGGTGTATGTAATGCCCAAATGGTAAAAGCAGATGAATGCGCTTTCCGCTGTAGTTAAACAACAAACATCATCCTTACACTTCACCAGAGAGGATCGTGCACATCCTGTAATGTGAATGCCTCTTTAGCTACCTTGCAGCGCGTGCTGGTGTCCTAGGAATGGGACACGGAGCCCGTTTTAAGCAAGCTTGTAAAATTCTGATTGCTTTAACCACAATTAGCTTAAGACTTTTCCGCTCCTGGCTGTGAGAGTAACCTGGCTCTTCCCAATAAAATCTCAAGCCCAGTTTCACACAGATAATTAAGCAGTCATTGTGTTGATTTAACCAGAAAATAAATTATTAGGCTAGGTTGTTAACTCCCGGTCAGTTTGGAACTTCTGTGTTTCTTACCATTTTCAGACACCCTTGTACAAACCAGGATCATGACTTCCGGCAACCACTCTTCTGTCAGGGGAAGCCATTCAGAGACGCTATCAAGGCCCGATTTCTAAACAGGGTGGGAAAAAAAATTATTTGGAATACATCCTCAAATACTTTAGTTTTTAAATTAGTTTTAAATCATTAATAGTGTTAGAATAAAAGCAGTGAAGTAAGGAAATATTTTAGGCTGCTTATCAAGTATGTTTGACACTTGTGGTCTAATCAGAGAAGCTGACTTACACAACTTCTGGCTCTTACCTTACCCATGAGTTCATCCTACTGCCTTGGATCTCCCTTTCATGTTTAATATGAATTATGCAATCCTAGTGTAAATGAGGAAAGATTTTTACTTAAGGCTAATTGTGGGTATTTAATTTTAAGCATATCTCAGGTTTAATGTACAGCTACTCCATCTTCCACAGTCAAGTGTACTGCTCCCATTGCTCTAGTGTGTTCTGAGACAGCCCTGAGATGTCTGGCTAAGGTATCTTTGCAGGATGTGTGCTATGCACCCTCCCCATCTGTGGTGAAACAGCTCCTTATTTAGATCATTTTTTGTCTCAGAATCTTTCTGGCTTTTGCTAAACCACCGTTTTCTCTGCTGCCAGCTTAGCAGAAACAATTCTGGGGAAAATGACAGCACTGAATCTTACATTTAACTCCTTCCTCATTCTTGGCTGTCCTAAAACAGCCTTTCTGAACTGGCATCAACCAGGAGAAAGTTGGAGGTGTGGTGGGCTGGAGGAGGATTTGCCTAACTTAGTGGCATATTTGCATCCTGAAAACCTTGCTTCGAGCTGGAGTACATTAGTAAAAGGGAAGGAAACTGCTTCCACAGTTAGCAGGCATAATTTACCATTGGTTTACTGACAATTAACTAGGACAGCCTAAAAGGAATGGATGGCACAAGATGAAAAGAATATAAGTTGTGGTTATCACTGTGATAAGGCAACTAGATCACACAGATAAGGCAATACAGTGAAGCAGAAGTGACTTACAATTGTGCTGTCGAAGTACACAACAAATGCTTGCACAGATTCAGCAATGTCTTCGGTAACAAGAAATGTGTTTGGTACTACACAGAGGTGAATATCCGCAGAGTAGTATTTATTGTCTATTGTCCAGGGGTAAAAGTTCACTCTTCCGCGTGAAGTTGCACCCACAGTAAGGTCATCTTTTCCTGTGATACCTGTATAAAAGAAAATGAACAAGGCAGATAAAACCAGCATCAAGAAAATAACTTGGTACAGTGCCAATGCAGACACCTTTTAACAAAACAGTACATACTTAAGATATTTAAAATTCAAACTCAATTTGTTACTCTGTCCTAGAGTTTATTTTGCTTTCAAAAGAGCTCATTTTCTAGCTTTCAAAACAAGATATGGTACAGAAGCTCTTTAGAAAGCAAATCTTTTTTCCTGGAAATGCCTTTTGAAGCGTTAGCCTCAAACTCATTACCTGTAAACAGGATGTATGGAGAGCGTAGCTAGACTTTATCACAACAGAAACAAACCTTGCATGTTTGTTCAGATGTGAAGAACTGTTTGACTGTGACCAAAACCTGAAGGTAACTAATGAGAAAATAAACCAAGTTACTCCAATTCAGTTGCAATTCCCATTAAATTCCATGTAGGAGTTTGACAATTAAAAGCCAAGGCTCTGATAATGTCATGTTAAACGCTGCCCTTCGTGTGCTGGGAGCAACCTTCCCAGTGCGCACTCCCACAGCACGACAGCCGCCTCGTGGAGTTGAATTACAGTTAGCAGAGCATCCCAGCCACACCTTGCTGCAAAGGGCAGAATATCTTATTCAAGCTGGACAAACTTAAGGATGCTTTTAAAAACAGGTCAATTAGATATAAAACTGACTCAGTTGTCTAGAATTTTCTTGGGTGTCAGAAGAGTTTAAAAAAAAAAAATATATGGGTTTTCAAAGATCTTCAAGGTCGTATTTTAAATGTACCGAGAGCCAGTTCTTGGAGATGCTAGAACAGGCTGTTCCCTTGATATTGACCACTTGGAGCGAGTCCAGAGGAGGCCACGAAGATGCTCAGAGGGCTGGAGCCCCTCTCCTATGACAAAAGGCTGCAAGAATTGGGCTTGTTCAGCCTGGCGAAGAGGAGGCTCCAAGGAGACCTCATTGCAGCTTTCCAGTATCTGAAGGGTCTACAAGGGTGCTGGGAGAGGACTTTTTCCAAGAGCCTGTAGTGATAGGACAAGGGGTAATGGGTACAAATTGAAATCAGGGAGGTTTAGATTAGATATCAGGAAGAAATTCTTCGCAGAGAGGGTAGTGAGGCACTGGAACAGGTTGCGCAGAGATGTTGTGGATGCCCCATCCCTGGATGGCTTCAAGGCCAGGCTGGATGAGGCTTGGAGCAACCTGGTCTAGTGCAAGGTGTCCCTGCCCATGGCAGGGGGGTTGGAACTAGATGATCTTTAAGGTCCCTTTCAACCCTAACCATTCTATGATTCCCCAAATAGTCTGGCTCTTCATTTGAATTATCTGTATCTTATCCATAAAAAGACAGGAAAACCCCATTGCCAAGGTTGCCACAGAAAGGTTGCATTGACGCACTGCAAAGTCTGCAAAACTGAACTGGTGAATGCACAAGGCAGCACGGGAGAGCTCTGAACCAGGTTAGCTGCAGCAGGAGGGAGGACACAGGGAATTTGAGGGAGAAATGTCATCCGAATCTCCTGTCCAGGTTTCTTTATAAAATGAATAAAAAGAGGAAAAAAAAACCAAAACAAAACCCAAAACCAAAAAAGAGCTACATCTACATGTTTTTTTCCACATTAAGAAAATTGACTCTTTAATTTGGATGACAAGAGTTTTCAGAGCAATTGGTCTTCATGCAGAAGCTATTCTGTGATAAGATGATCCGTGTTACCTTGGGGCTGGGGGATGATGACACTGAGTCAATACCAAACAAACCTTGACGCTAAACTTTGTGTGCTTAGAGCTCCAGCTTGTTCATATAAAGGTGGAAGAGACTATCAATACAGTTTTAAATAAATAATAATAATTAGTTTTAAACCCAAGCTTTTCAGTTTAGGCAACACAAAAACATCAAGTCTACTATTCTAAAAAAACCCAATTAATTGTTGAAACAGATCATCAAATCATAGCATATCACTTTACAAAATCTATAGCTTTAATGTACGTATTCTGTTATAATAAAGGCATTTTGGCAGAGGACAAGTTATTTTTTTCTGCTTAAAACAAGAGCTTTAAGAATGACCAGCTGTTAAGTGCTATACCTGGTGTTATTTGGTTTGCTATCACTGGGAAACAGGAAGCTCTTTAATATGTGCCAATTGCTGCTAGACTAGGAGTTCCTTTTAAATGGCTATTAGGGCCATTGGGAAGTAACTTTCACTCTGCTTGGATATAATGTGACAAAATTCCAGCAAATGGGAGTGGAAGCAAGTTAGGCAGCATCGCTGTGCGTGTCCAAAACACAGGGAATTTTCTCCTTTCTGGAATTATCTGTTGCCTAGCTTTTCAAATGCAGGCATAATCTTAATTTTCTGCCTTGGCAACCAGATGTTTTGTTTGGAGGTTTTGAATCCTACGTACAATATGCTACAAATTTCCTTTCACTAGTGGTTTGACAGTTAAAAATCAGTCCTAAGCTAACAGAACTGCAAGACAATGCCACAAGAAGCTGAGAATAAAGGAGCCCATAGGAATTACTGAAACGCAGAAAATCGGCAATAAGACCCGGAGCCAAGGGGAGGAAAACAGAGTGAGGAAAGGAAGTCTGTCCAAACCTCACTCAGTGATACACAAGGAAAGAAATTCTTATAAAAGACATTCAAAAGCTGATATGAAAACTGTCACTTCTGCTTTGTAAGTGGGTTTGTTTTTCCTTACAAAAGAGTTCATGGACAAATTTAGGCCTCAAAGTGCTGCTAGAAGGATGAGGACATGGCCCATTTCCTATCACAGGCTACTCTTTCCTTTATTTTAAGGTGTCCTCTTTCATCCCATTGTGCTTCTGATTACCCATCCTTCATCCAAAGAGATCTTGCCAATCACCTGTGAAATTTCTCTCCCAGTAAAAATGGATGCTGCACACTAAACTCAAAGGAGTGCAGGAACCTGTCTAAAGGATTTGGACTTGCTGTGTCTCAGCCTGCATGAAGGGTCTTAACAAATTACTGCAAAACAGCCCCATTCCTCGTGGCAGGAAACTAAATGCAGTTTGGGTGTCTTGTGAATAGTTCTCTTCCACAAAAGTCACTTAGACCAGGAAGGTTTTGGCCTTTAGAGTGAACAAGCAGAGACTACAAAAGAAATCTACACTGAGATAAATCTCAAACTAAGCTGTCAAGGATCTATTCCATGTTGGAACTAGTTTGAAGGATGACAGTACCATCTCTGGATTCCAGGAATTTCTTTCCAAGACAGCCTCTGTTTTAATAAAAAAAAGTAAATTTGGCCAGAATAATATCTAATTTTGGAGAACATTCATCAGAACAAACCCCATTCAGTTTTATTTGGATACAGAATAAACCTCTAGAAAATCAATATGGTGAAAGGAGGTGGCTTGTCAAACTTATCTCAAGAGAGGAGTTACTCATTTTTAATTTTAAACTCCCCAGCCACTGAAAGTGTCAGTGGTTTGCCATCCAAAGAGCCTGGAAAAGCCACTGCGTCATGCTTTGACCACAACAGGAGGCAGGCCTACTGGGCTGACTTAATTAGCTGGCCTTTTCCTTTGGATGACAGGAATGCAAACAGACTCCAAATGCACGGCTATTAAAGAGTAGGAAAAACATGCGTGGAAAAGTTCATGCCACAGAAGAACGTGGCTTAGTGTCACTCAAAAACATGATGCAGAGTCCAAGGTCCTCTAAGAAATAATGCAACAGGTAATGTTGGGCACTTACTTTACTGAAATAACTTTTACAATCTTACCAATAACTGCTGAATACTATTTAAGACCTAATGTCCCATGCTTCTGGATGATAGCACTTGTGAGCAAGAGAAGCTTCATCTACAGTGAATTATTTGAGGCTAGGGACCAAACAGTCCATTTCTCAGCCGTTCTAGTATCACCCTGCGGGTCATTGCCTCCTGCACGCGTTGGCACTATTCACCCACACAGTCCCCAGAGCCCCCGTCCTAATGCCAACCTACACCACATCTGCTGGACACGGACAATCATCTTCCTCCAGTTTATGACTCACTTTGCCCGATTTCTATCAGGACACCACTGAAGAACACAACGGCAGCAGACACATGAGATCAGTTCATGGCTCAGTCCAGTAGCGGATAGTGACTGGTATCATGCAGCTCAATGAACTTCCAAGCTTCTGTGGAATCCCTCCAGAGGAAAAGGTTTGTTTACCTCCAGACAGTCAGTCAGCAGCTTGTGCTTTTCAGCAAATTCATTAGCTGTGTCCTTCCTTTGCTCACAAGTATCTATAATTTTTAATAAATTGGACCAAATTCTGGCCTATACTTTGGAAATTAATTTCGCCTTCTATTCACACAAATAGATTTTACTTATTTTACTGATTAAAACTTGTTGACTTCTAACTTCATGAGATTGCATACAGACAAGATAAACAATGGTTCAGAAGGCAACAAAGAGGACGTGGCAAAACTAAAACCTAAGATCCACTCCTTCTTTGTAACAGAGAGCCTTAGTAAGTGTGCTGTAAGTGCAAGGCAGCAAATACTTTATCATAGGGAGAACTGGAGACCGGAATTAAGTTTTCTGAAAAGAGCTGAATAATAATCAAAGAACCAGCTGTAGATCTCTTGCCATTTGCTGCAGTGTCCCCTGTTCTCTAATACCCTACTGATATTTAAGCACTTGTACTATATGGTGTATTTCATAATAGCGTGTTTTCCAGAATCATTACCACTCCTCTTTACAGTTTGTTTTTTTCCAAAGGGAATAAGGTACTAATCACTCTTCCGAGTGTTTTTCAGATTGAACACATGCTATAAGAACATAATTCAGTCTTCTACTACACTCTACGTGATCCCAAATCCTCTTAGTTGGTAAGTACACCAAGTAGTTCTCACATTCTGTGCCTTGAGAGCCACCTGGTGGAAAACGCCATAAAAAATACTGGGAAAATTACACAAGGAGTAAAGAGAGCTCAGAAATATGCTTCAATGTAGATATTTTGATGTGGGGGAGGTGGGGAGTGGTAAATAGCCAAAAA